TACTACTTATCATGCAGAGGAGCATGCAATGAAATGAATTGTATACTGATTAAATGAATGAAAATATAAGTTAATTAATAATTTAAAACTATAAACTGTAAAGGTGGGCGTATGGCGGATTTGGTGAAAACGGCTCCCTCGCCAAATTGCGCCAAAACCAAATGACACCAGAGTCAAAGATAAATGTCATAATCGTAATCAGGGCCTCAAATAACCCCTATATACAAGTTTTCAGCGGATTTGGTGAAAACAGCTCCTGCGCCAACTTGCGCCAAACCTAAATGACGCCAGCGTCAAAATAAATGTCATATTCGTAATCAGGGCCTCAAATAACCCCTATGTACAAGTTTTCAGCGGATTTGGTGAAAACAGCTGTGGCGCCAAATTGGCGCCAAACCAAATGACACCAGCATCAAAAATGAATGTCATATTCGTAATCAGGGCCTCAAATAACCCCTATGTACAAGTTTACAGCGAATTTGGTGAAAACAGCTTGGCGCCAAATGGCGCCAAACCAAATGGCGCCAGCGTCAAAAATGAATGTCATATTCGTAATCAGGGCCTCAAATAACCCCTATGTACAAGTTTTCAGCGGATTTGGTGGAAACAGCGTTGGCGCCATCTGGCGCCAAATGGCGCCACCATCGAAAATGAATGCCATACTCGTAAGTGAAGTTTCAACGGAAAAAAAATTTGAGATTTTTGAGCACCCTTGTTTTCTGCGGCGCTACACCCTCTCACTCCTATCTGCACCACGATGCCACTGATGTTACTGACCCCCACGAGTACGACCCCCATGACCCACCATGAAAATACAGATACGACCCCCTGTCGAGGATACGATTTCCTCGACCGGCATTCACCCTGCTTCAGAGCCGAATTACCTACACTTCCCTCCACTTTGTTCTAGAAGCATGCTAGCTTCTCTGAGAGAGTTTTCGCTTGAGCTCACTAGGACATGAGGTATTTTAGTGAGAAATCTCGCTGTGGAATACGCTTTCGATCGTCGCAGTGACAGTTGAAAGCTTGTCCTCCTCTGCCAATTAGCCATGCCTTGGCAACTTTCAATTTTGTGAATGGTACTTGAGGTTACGACCCGTGTTTTTTGATGTACATATTTACCAGTAAGGGCAATTTATACTGTAAGGGTAGGCCAATAGAGCAACCAGTTTCCTTCTGCAACCAGAGTTAAAATATCCACTATTTATCGGATCTATGAATGGAAAGCTTCGTCGAAACTGACTTCGTGTTAGTTCTGTGGCCATAGTACTGTGGGATGGCCGAGCACTTGTCCACTTCGCCTATATCATTTTTCATTAAAGGGGGCGAGTAAGAAAAATTCAAGAAGGGTTTAGTGAGACCTGGTGGTGCTCAATGGTACACGAGTGGCGAAAAGAGCAGAAAACCCCGTCAAGAAAATGCAAAACGGGAATCATCAACAGGTAGCAGCTCAGAAAGTAGAGTTACACTTCATATATCGAAGTCTGATTGGGCGTGTCACCGGAAATGACGTGGCAGCCACCGCACTTGATAGATGTTGTGTGGATAAAATACTCCGCCAGATATCAGCAAAGCGTGTTGGAAGCAGCTTATCCGCGCAACTTCTATCAAGTGCGGTGGCTGCCACGTCATTTCCGGTGACACGCCCAATCAGACTTCGAGATGAGGCTGTATAAACGAGTTCACCGCAACGCGTTTGGTGGCACCATGCCAAATCACGCTTCAATCGAGATGCTCCATTTGCGCCGCTGCTGGCCACGCAGCTCGTCCAAATCAACAAGTAAACGTGGGCGGATCGCTTTTGGGGGCGGAGTGCTTTCGAAGTCCTGCTCAGCAACCAGCGCACCTTTCGTTGTGAAAGCGCCACACTCGCTTCCCTGGCAGCCAAGTAACTGCTTCGTGTGGTGCATATGCTTCCCCGATGCGCTCCCTCTTTACCGTAATCGCTCCCTTTAAAAGTTTCAATCGCCGTTCATTGCGCGTGTGACACACTGAACCGCATGATCCTGTTGGGAAATGGAATTCACTTCCACGCAGGGTGATGACTTTTAATGCGTTGAATTTGTAATCGGCAACGGAGGTCTGTAAACAAATGTTTCGCTTACCTGCATAAACCAAGAGACAATACCACAACCACTTCAGCGTCATGTGAACAGTTTTTACCCATATCACTGACAGCCGAATCATGTTCATGTGAACCCCGCCCATTTCAGAAACCACGCCCACCAGGTGACCACCACCATAGTTTCACTCCGAAACGTAGGTTACACGAAATTCAACTTGGGAAGCAGCCCACTCTGAGTTTTTTTTTTGCTGCATGAGGCCTCCTTCGGAAGCGTTATTAGCCATGTCTGACTCATCCGTCCAGAGTTCATCCTGACTGTGGACGACCTTACTTCTTCTTTTGGGGTGTTACCTGTTTCTACCATGACTTCCTTTTTACGCGACAGACCTTTTTTCTTCACAGATCCACTCGACTCTACTTTTGAAACAGAGGCCAACTTTTGTGGCCTATCCTCCCATCTAATGCAAGTGTTTCACCGAAACAGGGCACAAAATTTATTGCAAAACGTTAGAAAATAAAAGCGAATTCATGTTGTGTTGACCACAAAAGCCAAAAAACAAGCATCGAGAAATAGTGGTTAGTAACGACTCTGCTAATCGACTGTGATCATTAAGTCACACAGTGATGACCCTTAATCCAGCGCTTTAAAAAAACTGTTACCTACGATATAGGAATTGAAAGAAAGGGCCTCATACTCTCGAACGAACGACATTGAGGCAGAGAAAGCACAAACGAGTAATGAACACAAAGCAACGCTTGACTTGACTTTTAATAACACAATAAATTTCTGGAAATTGAAAGTACTCAACAAACAAGTGTGTGTGTGGAACCACACCGGGTATGAGAGTGGAAAAGTATCTCTTGAACGAAAACTCCGACTCTCAGAAAAAAAAACCGATTAACACATACCCTTGACCAGTAAAACACTGTCAAATGTAACATATACGGCTATTGATAGCTACCTTATCGTGCGAGACTCACATGAAGAAGTGATGATGATGACATACAAGAAAAACAAAAACTTCTTAAGATCGTTAGGCTATCATAAAAAAACGACTAAAACGGCAAATCACGAAAGCAAATCACAAGTCACAAAAGATGTTATACGCTTCGCTACCACGCGCGCACACGTACATCAAACAAGAATAATTGGTAGAGAAACATAAACCGGCCACCAAAAGACTGATCACTGTTCTCTAAACACGTAACGATTCTCTTGAATTAATTGCTCGCAAGTTGGGCATAGGAAACGGACACATGCAATATGTTGAAAACATCGAAGCAAAAAAATCCTAGAAATGAACACAAAAGCAAGATATACTATTCATACTGAAGAGCAATGATCTTAGTCATCAGCATCCATCAATCTTCGTCATCGAGCAGATCGTCCTCATCATAAATATCATCTTCATCACTGAAGTAAACTCTATTACCTACGAGACCGGAACCGGAGGGAGATGCTGTGGGACGTTTTGCAGACGGTCCTCCCCTGAAATGAACGCAAATAAATACCAGTACAATGAACCAAAGACTGCTTAACAAAGAACGAGCAGCAGTGCTTTCAAAAAGGTCAGAGAACTTTAATATTTATGAAATCGACCACACAGATGATCCATCAATATTGAAAGAGATTTTCGATAAATACTTAATGCCAAGCGATTTTACCATCGGACGACCGACTACGAATGACAACGTCATCCTAGCAGGCCGTTGATTTGGTATCAGATTTGTGTGGAAGGGTAGAAATTGGGGGCACCGAATGCTTCATGCTTTTCTGCTTTACCTACTGCCGTATGGATCTTTAGTTCATCTATTTCTGCACGCCTTATTGGAACTGTCACACATTGAAAACATTTATTGGTTATGGCCCTTTTCACACACTTCGAGAAAACTCCACTGCGTCCGCATAGTCTCCTGTGCAACTCATGGGACGGCACGTCGAGTGCGGTTATCTACACTTTCCTTTTAGTGCAAACCTTAAGCCCGTAAACGACCAGTAGCTCACGAATTTTAGCGAGTTCTTTTGAAATTATAGATGAAATTGAAGGTGACCTGACAAAATCGGCATGCAATAGTTTTTGCAATATTTTTGTAACAACTTTACCAGTAAAAAATTGTTATTTTTACGGCTTCGATCAAAAGTTACATCATTTAGACAAGGGCACTCTGAAGTTTAGCAATCAGCCTGTCCCGAGCGTGATCATCGCAGCATATCAAGAGCTTCTTTACAGTTATTCATCTCAACTGAAATTTGTGGAATATTAAGGAGCATTTCGAACCGTCTACGGATTAAACCCCATAAAAGACATGAACATGCCAGAGACTTCTTAATAAATCTATCCCGATATATGAGGGTCTGGGAATACTTCCACAGAAGTGCACACTTGTTGCGTGCACTCGACGAGGCTGGGAATGCGGGTGATCAAAATGTCAATAGGAAGAACACACTGCAACATGTCAATGTACTTGAGCGATTAAACTCACATAGATGACGGAGCTGCACGTTTTCTTGGCGGACGCTTTCGCTTCGGCTCTGTTCTATGGCGCATTGCACAGCGAAACTTTCGAACAATTGGATACATCATCTCAATCGACCGCATCACGTCACTTTCCGATGAGGCTGCAAAACTAACTCGTAGAAAAAAAACTCAGACAACCAATTCACTTGAAAAAAATTGTTGTCGACGTTTCCCAATCAGTCTCTCTTTAGACAATTTCAAGAAAAGAGCCCTTAAAACGTCATTTACTATAGGTTACTATAAAACCGCGTCTATGAGAAACTTGGCATGACACGGGGAACTTGTAACCAATGCAGATCATTTCAAATAGTTCAAATTTGAAAACTTACCTCCTGTTACAGTGATACTACCAGTAGTATGGATCCGCAACGTTGCTTTCGGATCCTGTGATCGCCAAACCAGACCAACGGACAGTTCAGGTTCATACTGCGATTGCGCTGGATACTGTTGCGCAAGCTAAAAAGGACGCTTATTATTCAAAAAATCAGGGGGATTCTTCAAAAATTCGTTGTCAGAAGATGTAAAAGTTTCAGTACGCTTATTTTTAGAATCTCTCAGTAACTACTCCCACTGGAATCAGATTGAAATAACTGAGGCCTCCCCTAGCAGCCCTAACTTATTCAAATTAAAAAGTGTCGAGCAAGGATGGAATAGTGGAGGTAACGGATGATCGCCTCTTCATCTACAACCACAAAGCGCGATAACTATGAGGTCATCACAAGCGTTACTGCTGATTTCCCGTCCACATTGATATTGGCAAGGTGACCCAAGGAATGCGTTGTTGTAATATAGGATATGACTGACGACCGTTCACGCCTGATCAATACAGAGTTGGACATTTACAATCACGCGGGTACATTAGCAGGCGTCAATTGGTGCCGTGAGGATCAGCACTGTGGGAAAATATAACAATGAGCGTTAATGCCGGGCTAATGCGGACATTAGCATTACGACAACATTACAATTAAGTTTTCAAAATTTCAGTTTGACTTAAAATTTATCTGGAAAGCCAGAATGAATTTGGCATGGATGAGGGATGTGTCAAGATAATCAAAACACGCAAGAAGTACAACAAATGTATAAGCACCCCCATGGTAGGACAAGCATCAGAGTTTTCAAAATAGAATTTATGATTTTGTTGAAGAACACAACGCAGAGAAGAGAGTAATAGGCAAAGATTGAACAGCAGGTTGGCGGTTGGAATGTAGGAGATAAATAAACGTGAGAGGGACATCTCCAAATGGGCGATGCTTGCCTAAAATTTTTAACTCGATTTTAAAGCATCCGAAGACGCCAGAAAAAGATGGTGGCGTAAAGAGCGTCGAAGCGTACTAAAGAGTGCCTTCAACGGTGGTGTTACTATAAAATTTATAGCTCCAAAAAAATTAATAGAGGCCAGGAGGTGGTCAGAAGTTCATGATGGGCGGAGCGAGCAGCAGTGTGGTGATGGGCGATACTATAATCAAGAATAGGTGAAAATGCGTCGGGGGTGGAGGAAGGAGACACACATATCTAATTAAAATGGAGTTGTAGAGACTAAAGGGCACTAGAATCTTATCAAACATCATCATCATATCCTTCACTTAGACGGTGGCTTGCAATCGCTACGCCCACCTGTCACTCCTATCGTATCTTATAAAACGAAGGTGGCTGCTTCTTTGCTGACTCTTCGCGCTTTCACTGTGTTTAACGTGACCGGAACTAGAGCTGACGGATAAAACTCGAAAACTGTCGAAGAACGAGGAGTTCTGGCTTAGCTCTATCCCAGTGGTATCCCAATCTGATCGTGCAGTTGGAGCCTCTGCTCTGAATGTTAACTGGATATAAGCCTTTCCGCACTTTTATGAGATATTGTCACTTCGATATTATGACTATCCCCACCCCCGAAAATGTGTAATCAGCGTCCACCGTCCGGGAGGTAGTCGTATTTTGCCGGCGGGAAGGCGGGGGTCGTATTTGCAGGAGTCAACATCGCAATGCGTGGAATGACGCAATGTAACGCAGATGAGAATAAAGCTCTAGGCTCAGGCTCACAGCATTAAACGATTAGAATGAGGACGTTTGCTCGCGACAGTAGGTGAGGGATATAACTTTCGAGTGCTTCCTAACTACTGTATGAACCACTAACAAGTGCATGGCGCCGCTCAGAGCAGATGAGTCTACTGCAGAAGAGTCCATATTAGACTGTTCACGTACGTAAATAGAGAACCAATGTCGTCAAACTTTCTCATAAAATTGAACCTAATTTTTGTGAAGTTTCAGTGTTGACAACACACGCTTTCAGAGGAGTAGCTCCGAAAATTCATGAAAAAAAAAACGGCTCAAAGGGATGATTTGCTGAACGGGTCATTTTAGGAACGAGGTCAAGTATTACGATTTTTGGAAAGCACTAACCTTCTAGTTTCTTCCAGGGGGACAAGAATTGCAAAAAGTTGAATCTGAAGAAAGTTATAACAGTTCAAAGCCAAAAAACCAGCGCTCTGCAAAAATCGGTCCGCGATTTCCCCAAAACGGTCCAACGGGGCGATTTTTTGACTCCATCAATTTTGAAAAGAGTTCAAGTATTCGTTAGAAAGCTCTAACCTTCTAGTGTACCCAGGGGGAGGCAATAATTGCAAAAAATTAATTCTGAAGAAAGTTAGTGATTGAAAGCAAAAAGCCCGGTTCTGAAAAAAAAAACGGTCCAACGGGGCGATTTTTTGAAGAAAAGAGACTTTGCAAAAGTTGAGTACTTTTTAGAAAGAAACAATCTGGAGTTTCAAAATTTTCTTACCACTTCTCACACTTTCTTATTTGAAAAAAATTACAACCTTTCAAATGAAGAAGTGCGCATTTCTGTGAATTCTTATTTCTCTACCCCATAACTAACACAGTTCGAAGATACTGCAAAAAAAGTGGTAGTTTTCGGAAACTAGCGGTCTCTTGGATTGTAAACTTAGCGTTTTAAAAAATATTGACGTTGAACAGAATTACACATTGAAAATTAGTAGTCCATCTCGTCTATCCGCGCTGGGCAGATTGGAAGATTACGCGCGCCAATGCGAACGCAACGCTCCCGTGCTCAAATTGAACACTTCTGGGGCGGTATTCAATCCTTCCCCCAGGGGGATATATCCCCCTACTCTGATTCAATCCTCTGGGGGGACAAAAAAGGGTTGCGTCATAGGACCTAGCATACCTCTGTGTTTCTACCTGCCAGACAGTTAGAGCAGCGCGACCCCTCAGGGAAAGAGTGCTTCATCAGTGGAGGGTAGTCGCGCTGCTCTAACTGTCTGGCAGGTAGAAACACAGAGGTATGCTAGGTCCTATGACGCAACCCTTTTTTGTCCCCCAGAGGATTGAATCAGAGTAGAGGGGGATATATCCCCCTGGGGGAAGGATTGAATACCGCCCCTGCAGTAGACTCTCGCGCTCTAGACGCGCCATGCACTCGTTTGGTTCAATCCACGCTCATTAGCTCATGTCCATTATTGTGTTCTTGGATTCAAACTACGTTGGATCCAAGAACACAAGTAACTTAACGTCTCTAGTCAAAAGAAGATTAGTTAATGATCTCATAATGGCTTTCAAAATTCTGACTAGAAAAGTAGCTCTTAATCCCACAGACTTTTTCACTTTTGTGCGATCTAGGACTAGGGGTAGTACCATAAAAATAAGACGTCCTGTAGTGAGATCCCAGGTCAGAGCGAAATTCTTTGCAATCAGAGTACTACCTTTCCTAAATAAAATATTCAATCAGGATATGCTACGCTTGTCCCTTAGTTCATTTCGTAAAAGAGCCATTAAATTAATCAATGCGGAAGTTTCTTGAAACAGTATAAGACATGGCTGATGTACTGATTTTCATCTGTTTCTATGTTTGATGATGCCCACTCGCTTTGTGCTTCTATTGTAATCTACTTTGGTTGTACTTACCACGCAGATATTCTGCGTCTATGAATAAATAAATAAATAAATAAATAAAGTAATGGACATGAGCTCTAGTAACCGTTTTTTTTTGTAGATTGCACTTATTTTCTATAACGTTGGTCCACAACATAATGATGGGCGGGGGGGGGGGGGGTCGTTGAGAGACTTCCCAAGAAGGGTGGGGGCGGGTCGTGAAATTTTTGAAATCGGTCCAACGTGACGGTTGACCGTGTTTCAAAACCGGCTGGAGGCTGTGAAGAATAGAGGCTAACGGAAGAGGATATGTGGACTGGCTCCATGACTTTTCCAAACTTTGGGGTTGGGGGAGGGGGTGGCCGTGAACGCAGAGGAGTAAATAGATTTCCGCTGTTAGCAGGGTGGATTTGAAAACTATCATCAGCGTAGCTCACGCAGCTCACGGCCGCAACGCAGCGCAGCGGCTATGCCATAAATCGTCAAAAAGTCACGGAGTCTATATCAGCAACATCAGGTAAGTGGGCGTATGCCATATTAATGGCTCCAAAAAATCCAACTCTCTTTTGCATACAGCTGAGACTCGTAACTCATGCGCAAGCATGCAGTGTCCAACTTCTCAACTAATTTGATGAAAGTGATGAAAGAAAAAGGCAAACTGGTATTCGGAGGAGACAGCAAACAGCAGCAAAAGAGAGGAAAGTATAGAAAGCACCCACCTCTTCTATTTTAATCCCGAACGGCATCCTACACGTCGCCAGAACATTGCACACCTGAACAGCAATCTCTGCAATCTATCTAGAAGAATAAAATCCTAGCAGCAAAAAAAAATGCTACTGACGCTTGGGGAGCACACCTCCTTCAAAGCTTGATGAGAGTGAACTTAAAATGTCTTATGCCATCGGTTAGCATAAAACTACGGCACTGGACACTCGATACATCGAGATAAACATTTCTAACCCACGAAATAAAAAATAAAAATCCACAAGTAAATTTACAGTATACTTTTCTATCGTACCTTATAGTTTCTAATCCTAACCACGTCATTTTCCTTGTTCATAGTTTTCTGAACACGTCTGGCAATGGTTCGAGCCGCGATCATGCAGTCCGCTTCACTGAAATCTCCCAAACAAAATGAAACGGAAAAGACACATGAAACGTGAAAAAAACGCACCTCTTGCAACCAACAATGTAAACCTTCCCAGAGCTGTAAATTTTAACATAGCAGTTGGGTTTGCGCTTTTGCTTGAGCAAAACCTTGAACAAAATGTGATCAGCAAAAAATTACTTCAAGGACAGTGCCTAGACTATGTATTGGTAAGATGCATATAGTCAATTTTCGTTCATTCGTTACGAATCTAAGTATTCACAAAGCTTGACAACGACCCTAAGGCCGATGTCAGACTTTGCGAATCGAGCGACTCGGTACTAGCGATTCGCTAGCGTCCGCGGTCGCGTTGCGGTACCAGCCAATTGAGTGATTCACTGGCCGCGACGCGACCGCAGACGCTAGCGAATCGCTCGATTCGCAAAGTCTGACATCGGCCTAATGCAGTTCCCAGAGATGCAAACTTCACGACCCAGAACATACTGTCTCTATTATTATACGAAAGAATTTAAGATTTGCAAAAAGTGAATCGGATTGAGAACATGGCCCTAAAAGAGACAGCAACAAATTTGAGTGGAAATAGAAGCAACAAAGGACAGAACAAAGCCAAAAGGAAGAGTAATCTGTTGAACTCACCCCACGACCTCGGTCAAATGTCACATTATTACTGTTCAAAGCCAATTTCCGCAGATCGATATGCAGCGGTAAGGTGTAGTTGCACACAACATTGCGAATCTGAAACATCGACAGTACATATAAGCATTAATAGGCAAAATTACTGAGGCATACTGTAAACGCACCTGGATATCAATCTCACCATCATCTCCATCGTCCTCTTCTTCAGCGACTTCGCTTGTCGAAGGATCTTGAACAGCAGGTGCAGGAGGTTCCTCCACAACCTGTAAGGTGAAATTGAGCAACAATAGCTGGCGAGAATAACCAGACCACTTTGAAGGATCAAAGGCAATTTTGACGATGAAGAATAGATTTAGATGAAAACTACATCTCTCCACACAACCACGAAACTTATCGTAGAAAGGTACCCTGTCCGCAAAACTATAATTAAAGTGGTCTTAATTCGCTTTAACTCATATAAAGATAAGCCTGACAAACACAAAACAGCCCGAACTTATTTTGCTCATAAGGTTCGAATTTGCATGAACTGATCGTCGCAGGCCTACTGTGCTAGAACTCACACTACTTAAAGTGAGATCTTATCAGCAAAGCAAATTAGTGAGAAAATACCACGAACAGAAAGATTATTAGACAATGAACGAGCAAAAAATATTACATTCACTTACGGGTTCAGGTGACGGCTCACGAATAGGAACAACCAGATTCAGAGATGAGGCACTGTTTTCGTAGGAGCCAGTTTCCAATGTGCTAGAGAGCTCAGGCACAGATCCAGGCACGTAAGTTTGGGTTGTTGCTGCTGATGCGTACGAAAAATTCTGTATAGATTGTTGTTGTTGTTGTTGTTGTTGTTGTGTGCTGTTGGCCGCTCGCATATACCACTAAAATATGACATGAGGTGCACATGGATGTCATTACATCATTTCTTAAGTGGCAGCCAAAAATATACCATGCTGTCGATACACGTATCCCCCTCCTTGAGGTTCGGTTTTCTGAGTGAATTGCTGCCGCTGAAAAAGACCCTGTTGCGGTGGTTGCTGTTGTTGCTGCTGTTGTGACTGTTGATGCTGTTGCTGTGGTTGCTGCTGCAACTGTTGCTGGACAATCACCGCGCGGTTTCGTGGTGCACTGCCCAAAATACTCTGGTTCAACTGGTGCGTATAAGCTGGAAAATGGATGTTGGAAATGATGAGAAAGTGATGCATTTTAATGAAAGGCACTGACTTATTCCAGGAGCCTGATTAGCATACGCATGTGACTGAGCCGCTCGCCACACCTGACCTGCGACTGGCCTCGTATGCACTACAGGAGAGCGCATGAACGTTGTGCCCTTGACCGATGTCTGAACGGCTCTGAAAATAAAAGCAGGTAGAACTAGACCACGAGGAGAAAAATGGGCAAAATGAGCCGAGCAAAATGAAGTTGCTTGGAAACCGTGAGCTAATCAGATAAGAAGATTTCATCAGGAATGTATTTAAGAGTTCGAGAGAAACGGAAAGGTCACAGTCTCAAATACCGAAATTTATCAGCACCATGGATACGGCGGCTTAAATTTTTCTGAACTGCGGCAGGAGTGAATTTATTCCAAGGCTTTTCTGAAACGCATTTTCACAACTACAACTTATGCATTAACCGTACAAGACAGCTGTTTCCAAAGAGAAAAATCGCTAACAAAAGAAAATGGTAAAGTTTGTTACTTATAATAATAAAAGTCCAACTTTACTAGTGACAAAAAATAAGCATACGCAAATTTTATTTGAAAAACCGGTCAACATGATGCGTGTGTGAAATTTTATGTTCAGACGCGCATTCGGTATAACATGCTTGCCTAAAATTGAACCACAAAAGCGGCCACAACGACTTCAAAAGCAGCAGTGAAGAGCTGAATATGAGACGATTATACGATGGTCAGATTAAATAAGTTCACATTTCTGTAAGCTTCAGTAATTCACAGTGTACTCTTGCTTAACATGAGAAAAATGAGAGTTTGACCATTGATTCCGAAAAAGGGCTTCGCGTGTAACTTCATCAGATTTTGGCCCAAGGCAAGATTGTGCT